TCATCCTTTGGGCAAGCCTTGTTGAGATCCCTGAAATCAATGCACACTTTGAGTTAGCCATTCTTCTTCTGCACAGGAATGATGTTCGCTAACCACATGGGGTGGATGATAGGCTTGATAAAGCCGGCTGCTAACAACTTTTGGACCTCATCTTTAATTTGCAACTCAAGTTCTGCCCGGAATGTTCGCGAGCCTTGTTTAACTAGGCGAACGTTGGGCAAAACATTGAGATGATGGGTGACCAGCGAAGGGTGAAGCCCTGGCATCTCGCTGTATGTCCATGCAAATACATCGCGAAATTCCTGCAAGAGAGAGACAAGGTGAGATTTATCCTGACAGCTTAGTGTACCCGAGAGGAATGTGATGCGAGGCAGTTCATTGGGATGGGCAAGATTAACTTCAACGAGATCTGGCAGTGGCGCTTTCTTGAGAACTCGAGGCTGATATGCTGGGGGGTCAGTAAAGTGAACCTCTGCTAACCCCAGGCACCATCATAAATGGTAGATGACACGACCGTTGGGGAGGCGAATGCGTTTACATTCACGTGTGGCATCGTCTGTCTGCACGAGAGAGGGAGGGTGAAAATGCCCTTTTGGGCGTCAGCCCAGGTGGGTAGAGGAGTACTGATAATGGTTGCATCGCAGTCTTGCCCGTAGTCATCAAGGTTATTGAAGAATAATGCATCCGTGTAATGAGCCTCGAAGGTGGCAAAAGGGTGATCGGAACAGGGGACGGTGACAACCTTGTTATTCCAGATGCCTTTGAAACATTGATGGTAAGTGGAAGGGACAATGCCAAAGCGGTGCATCCATGCGAGTCCCAGAAAAATGTGATAAGAAGTGTCGCTATCAATAACGTGGAACTTCGTAGAGGTTTGGAATTTGTTAACAGCTAGATCAACATTAACATAGCCCATCGTGTGACAAAGATCATTGCCAAAGCTTGTGACTTCAATTGGCTCTTTGACCAGACGATCCTCGGAGATGCCAGCCTTGCGAAAGGTGGAGAGGGGCATGACATTGATGGAAGAACCGTTGTCAAGAAAAGCGTGCTTGAATTCTACTCCCTTCATAGAAGCCAGTACATACAATTGTCTATTTTGGGCACCTTGGTTCTGTTTGTCAGCATCAAAAAAGGATAACGTTTTCTTTAGTGCAGGAGAGTTGGGTTTAACAGAGGCGACCAAAGGACACATATCCGTTTCTAAAGAAGGCTCTGTCTCATGGCCTGAATTTGTTTCCGCTAGTTCATTATAGCAGGTGATAACAGCCACGCGATGATCAGGGTACGGGAACCGGTGAACATCCTTAGCAGGGGTGACTTCAAGATCACCAGTTGCCATTCGCCATTGAAAAAGGCGGCGCAAGCCCCAGCAATTGATAGTGGGATGAGTAACACTTTGATGGTAGACACAGAAATCAGCGTTAGCTCGATCTGCCGAGGTGGGCTTGCGACGTGGGGTAGGTAGAACGACATTGCCATCCTTGACCCATTGGGCGAGTGTATTCTTAACTTCCTCAATACGGATGGGGAAAGGTGGTGGTTCCTCGCCTTGTGGCTTGAATTGGGATTTGTCAAACCACTTTTGGGGGCGTTCCTCAAAGGTCGCTGCAGGTGCAGGCCTGCGATTGGAAGGCTTCGGAGCTTCAAACTTAGAGGCATCATTATTGGAGGCTCATACTTAGCGGTAATTGGTTTAAGATCCTTAAGATTCCGGGTTGCAATCTTGAGCTCGCCAAAGCTAGCTATCCTTAGGTTGACAAGGTGGAGCTTGTAAATCTGCAGCATGCCCTGGATGCAAATATCAACCAAGTCCATTTCATTACTACTTTCAAAGCATTCACCTGCACGATCTCTGAACCGATTGATAAAAGCGAGGATATCCTCATTGTCCTCTTGAGCCTCCTTTGTGAGAGACAAGGTGGTGACCCGTTCTTCAGCCTGGAAAAACTTGGTGAGGAAGCGATCTTTCAGTTGCTCCCAGGTATTGATTGAGTCTGGTTCGAGGTTTAAATACCAACGGTACGCTCGATCAGACGAACCACATGATTATCACCGAAATGACCTAAAGCCTCAACAAAGCGCATAACATGTTCCCTAGGATCACCGGTCTTGCCGTTGAACTGGGGGAATTTGGGGACCAAGTATCCCAACGAATATGGAGTCTGTACAATAACAAGAGGGTAAGGAGGCTCACTGCCAAAGTCTAAGGCACGAGAAGTTGGGGTACCTTTCTTGAAAAGATCGCGCACTTCAGAACGTGTGAACACTTCTTTTGGGGCGGAGTAGGAATATGAGGGGAGAGGACGGTGTGCCTTAAGGTTCGCCTGGGCATAAGTGGGTGGGGAGCAAAACATGGGTTCTTTGCCTTGAGACAGGAATACTCGAGGAGCCATAGGGATTACCTGTAATATAGGGTTGTAAAGCTCTAGGATGGGCTGTGACAGATCTGCACCATGATCTTGACCTTTTGGGGACTTTGTGAGTTGCTGCTCATGTAATGGAGGCAAAGTCACACCAGTTGGGGTACTGGTACCGAACACCATCTGAGTAACTGAAGGGAGCTCCGTTAAAACTATAGTCGGCGTCGTCGAGACCCTCCTGTCAAGAACACGGAGAGCTTCCTCAAATTTCTCCATTCGGGTCATCAGTTGGTGATTCATGTTCTGTAGAGCCTTGAAGACAGCATCGGTGCTAGATCTGTGTCTGGATTTTGAGAAGTGAGACCTTGTGCTAGTAGCCCTAGTGCTAGTGTCTCTGGCGCTGGTAGCTTTGGTGTTTGTGGCTCGGTGGCTAGCAGATTTGGTAGTGACAACTTTGACGCCAGTGGCTCCAACTGTGGACACCTCTGCCTGTGCCGGAGGAGAAACCTCATCTGGATTCATCGCTTTACCCGGATAATCCCCAGTGAAGTCGCCAAATGTAGATACTTGATCTCGTCTGTTGAATAGTCAAAGAAAAGAGGTCTGGGAATATATCACTGAGCAATATGAGGAATGCAGAAAGGTGGAAGAAGGGAGAGAAAATCAGTCCAGTCAAAGAATTAGAACAATGGTAGGTAAGAAGCTGCCGTCAGTTCCTGCCTCCTTTTTTCGTCATTACCTTCTTTTATAGCCTTAGGTCATCCAGGTGGTACATTGTTGGGCCTCCATCTTGGGAATGGGTCCGGGTCATTCCCTTTTTGGGTCATGTTACCCTAATCCCTACATTTTTGGATCCACTGCCAAGTGTACCTTTCCTGGTGAATAATCCAAAAAATGACAGGCTGTAAAGGCATTTGTACTATTCCAGCTGTCTTTTGCTCTTATCCTTAGACTAGGTCTTGCCTTAGTGGGCAAAACATTACTAATTTTCCATCCTCCATTCCAAAATCCCTTCTGCATCCCAATGTCACCTGAAGAGCCCTACCATAACTCTTCGTTGCTTGGATCGAGGTTCGACGCCCACCAATCATGGCAGTGTCAGATCGAGGTTCAAGGCCCATCGATCAACAAATTGAGTCGAATCGAGGTTCAAGGCCCGTCAATCGACAGATTGTGAAGGTCGAATCGAGGTTCGAGGCCCGTCGATTGGCAGGTCAGATCGAGGTTCAAGGCCCGTCGATCGACAAATCATAAAGGTCGGATCGAGGTTCAAGGCCCGTCGACCGACAGTTTATGAAGGTCGGATCTAGGTTCAAGGCCCGTCGATCGACAGATTGTCAAGGGTCAGATCGAGGTTCAAGGTCCATCGATCGTCAATTTGTGACTCGGATCAAGGTTCAAGGCCCGTTGATCGATGATTTGTGATTAACAGATCGAGGTTCAAGGCCCATCGACCGACAGATTGTCAGAAGGTCAGATCGAGGTCCAAGGCCTGTCGATCGACAATAACTCGGATCGAGGTTATGATGTGATCCAGGTTCAAAGCCCATCAGCCGAATATAGACTAATATTGAGGCCCAATGATCGACTATCACATGCCTTGCTGAGGTGGACTTTGTCAAAGTGTTGACTGTTTGACTTGGCCCTTGGTGACGTGGCTAAACCACGTCCACAAACACATTCTATTAATTGATATGTTCTGAACTTATTGTTCTTTTCCAAAAAAAATAAAAGAAGAAAGAAAGAAAGTAAAGTGTGATTTTGTTGTCCTATTCCCACATGGAATAGGACCAAGACTAGGTACAATATTGTAACCAAACATATCTTTTGTTGTTTGATAGAAAGAAAGGAAAATGTGTGGAGAGAAAATAGGTTGGAATGAATGAATTTTCTTTGTTCGGTAAATATGAAAGAAGGAAAGAAAGGAGAATATGAATGAGACCCATCACTCATACTTTACAAATTTTCATCCTTCCAAAAATAGGCGAAAAAAATGATGGAAGACAAGTGAATTATTATAGAAGTTTTAAATTAAATACTGTAATAAATTATGTAAGCTTTAAATTACAGTATTATTCTCTATAAATTACAATATTATAAATATTATGGGATATAATGGTAAAAATAATTAAAACTTTCTCTTTCCTTCTTTCTTAATAAACATAATAAATTATGCGTTTATTCTGTTATCTTCTATCCGATCGAATAAAAAAAAAATACACAATCTCTTCCCTAAAAAATCTTATACATTTATTTTATCTTCAGTTCATCTAATGTTTTTCTTTCCAAAGAAATAGAGCATAAACCTAACACTCAAGTGGTTTTACTAGTTCTTCTGACTTAGTGGTGTAGAAAGAGTTTTTTCATCCTCCTAAAGCAAATTATATATGATTTTTATCGTACATAAATGGGTCTAAATGAGATATAAATAAATTAACGGGTCCACGTTTTATTAGTGCGTAATTATGACCCGAACACCAGAATTGGGTCATGCCTATTAGCCCATCCGGTTTCTCTCAGTCTGTGTGTCTCTGTTTCTGTGTCACCATAAAGAATATAATAATTAATAAAAAGAACACACAGAAAGAATGTTGATGCGGTATATATATTTATTATTTAATTAGGGGTTATGGAGTTGAGTGCAACAAGGCATAGCTTATAAATAGCTCACTCTTAGACCACCTGCTCTTCAATGCATATCTTCTGACTCTTGGGTCTTTACTGTTTCACTTCGCAGCTCACATCACAAAGCAAAAAAACGCTTCTCATAAAACCCTCTTCCTCTCTCTCTCTCTCTCAAGATCTGACAACCCAAATCCCCATTGTAGGTATGTAATACAGACTCTCTCTCTCTCTATCTCTCTCCTTGAAATTTATTTTTGTCAATTTTGGATTTGATTATAGTTCTAAATAACATTGTAATTTGAAGATAGAGAAAATAGTAACTATTTTGATTGACCCTATTTTGTGCCTTGATCTATTGCCAATTGACTGTTGTTAATGTCTGCTGAACTTGTATGTAGATCTGGTTTTATTTTAATGGTTTTATGGTTTATTTGTGTGATATTGTTTATAGCTTGTGTTATTTTGATAGATCTGGCATATATTACCATTCAAATCTATTGCAGATGGTGCATTGTGTTTTGTGGTAGTAATTTCTAATGTGCCCTCATGGTATTTTCTTGGTTTTATCTTGTCATTATGATACTGTTTAACACACTGCAATTAAATAGATAAGTTTTTTTTTTTTTTTGGAAGCGTTTTACCATATTTGTTTGATTTTTGTAATTTTTTTTTTTTGGGGGAAAATTGTATTTTTAAGAGTTCATTTAATTCTATAGCAATGTTTAAATAGAGCTTGAGTTCAGTTTTTAGGACCAAATTTTGTTTTCAGTCCGAAAGATTTCCTTCTAAAAGAAGTAGCATTTGGGCACAAAAAGATACCTCTCTTCCTGAATCTAACTAAAGATACATGATAATCCCAAAATACCCATTAAAAGAACACCTGGAGTCAAGAAATAATTTTTTTCAACTTTGCTTTATTTGATTCTCAAAAAAGCTGACTCATTGCTTGATTTGATCGCATCTCTTCTTTAGTATCAATATATATAAACCCTTTACACCGAAAATTTGTATCTTTTTGAAGGACTATTTTTTGCTAAATGCCAGTATACTTTTGGTCTGAATAGTGATTTTACAAGCAAGTCACTGTCACTTTTTTCTTTAATGATTCTGGATATATTTAGCTTATTTACATAGTAAATTGTTTAGGTTTCTACTGCACTTTTCTATGTTGAACTGTTTGGATTTTGTTTAGATTATGGCGGCATACAAACCCAAGAATATCCTCATTACTGGGGCTGCTGGCTTCATCGCATCACATGTCGCCAACCGGCTCATCCGGAACTACCCCGAGTACAAAATTATTGTTCTTGACAAGCTTGATTACTGTTCAAGCCTGAATAACCTCAATCCCTCTCGATCATCCCCCAACTTTAAGTTTATCAAGGGTGACATTGGTAGTGCTGACCTTGTCAACTTCATCCTCGTCACTGAGTCCATCGATACAATTATGCACTTTGCAGCCCAAACCCATGTGGACAACTCCTTTGGGAACAGCTTCGAGTTCACGAAAAACAATATTTATGGCACCCATGTGCTATTAGAGGCTTGCAAAGTCACTGGTCAAATCAAAAGATTTATCCATGTAAGCACAGATGAGGTTTATGGAGAGACAGATGAGGATGCTATAGTGGGAAACCACGAGGCATCTCAGCTCCTCCCAACAAATCCATATTCTGCAACTAAAGCTGGGGCCGAAATGCTTGTTATGGCTTATGGACGGTCATATGGATTACCTGTGATTACTACAAGAGGAAACAACGTTTATGGGCCAAATCAGTTTCCTGAAAAGTTGATTCCCAAATTCATTCTCTTAGCCATGAGAGGAGGCCTTCTTTCTATTCATGGGGATGGATCTAATGTTCGGAGTTACCTTTATTGTGAGGATGTTGCGGAGGCTTTTGAAATCATCCTCCACAAGGGTGAAGTAGGCCATGTTTATAATATCGGGACAGATAAGGAAAGGAGAGTGATTGATGTGGCCGATGATATCTGCAAACTATTTTCATTGAATCCAGATGCAGTTATTAAGTTTGTGGAGAATAGGCCTTTCAATGACCAGAGGTACTTCTTGGATCATCAGAAGCTCACCAACTTGGGATGGTCAGAACGGACAACATGGGAAGAAGGACTAAAAAAGACAATGGAATGGTATGTTAATAATCCGAATTGGTGGGGAGATGTCTCAGGGGCACTGCTCCCCCATCCAAGAATGTTGATGATGCCTGAAATCGAAAGAAATGCATCCAGTGTTGGTGTTTCTGCTTCCTCTTTTGTATTACATAATACTAGTCAGGGGATGGTGGTTCCGGTTTCAAAAGCCAATCCCTCGACCCAAAAGCCACCGCTGAAGTTCTTGATTTATGGTAGAACTGGGTGGATTGGGGGCCTTCTTGGGAAGATATGTGAGAAGCAAGGGATACCGTTCGAGTATGGAAGGGGGCGCCTGGAGGAACGGTCACAACTTTTGGCAGATATTCAAAATGTTAAGCCAACACATGTTCTCAATGCTGCTGGAGTGACTGGTAGACCTAATGTTGATTGGTGCGAGTCTCATAAACCAGAGACAATCCGCACCAATGTCTCTGGTACTCTAACCTTGGCAGATGTTTGCAGAGAGCACGGACTCCTTTTGATGAATTATGCCACTGGTTGCATTTTTGAGTTCGATGCTGAACATCCAATGGGGTCTGGCATTGGGTTTAAGGAGGAAGACAAACCCAATTTTACTGGTTCTTTCTATTCGAGAACCAAGGCCATGGTATGTTCTACTGTCCCTTTCAATCCATCTTCCCATTTTGAAAGTGCAAAACATAGATCCAACTTCCTTTTCTTGGTTTGGTAAATGCAAATTTGTGTTCTTGATTTTTCCAGGTGGAAGACCTTCTGAAAGAATATGACAATGTTTGTACTTTGAGAATCAGAATGCCAATATCATCTGACCTCCGCAATCCACGCAACTTCATCACCAAAATTACAAGATATGACAAAGTGGTGAATATTCCAAACAGCATGACCGTCTTAGACGAGCTTCTACCCATTTCGGTTGAGATGCTGAAAAGGGGCTGCCGAGGTATATGGAACTTCACAAACCCTGGTGTTGTAAGCCATAATGAGATTCTGGAGATGTACAAGAACTACATTGACCCCAATTTCCAGTGGACTAACTTCTCATTGGAAGAACTAGCCAAGGCAGTAGTCGCCCCTCGGAGCAACAATGAGATGAATGCATCAAAGCTGAAAAGTGAGTTCCCAAACTTGTTGCCTATCAAGGAATCACTCATCAAATTCGTTTTCGAGCCAAATAGGAAAAATATCATTGCTTGATCATTACTTCATGCCAAGGAAAGAGGCGTTCAAATAAATTCACACCGCCACCATTTTTATTGTTATATGTCATCATCCTCATTTCATTATTTCTATTAGGATAGTTCCCACATAGTGGTTTATACTATATTTTTATGTATTATTTAATTTTTTTGTTAATTATAGTTTGGCGAATGTGGAAAGAAATTCTTGATTATTGGATTCATTGTGTAATAAGGGTTCCTGCCCTGTTGAAGTCATGTAAGTTCAATGGATCTAATTTATGAAAATAATTCAAGTTTTGTTAGTTTCTACCTTTTAATGGTGTTGTGTGTTCCCTTTCATTGTGTTGTGAAATTCAATTGACAATCTGGAAATTTTACTTACTTCTTCTTTGTTGTATATGTTGCAAAAATAATCTAGTACTTAATTTTCGGGATTTCACCAAAGGTTGTTGTAGCCTAGCGCTAGGTTGAAGTCTCTCTCACATTCTAAAGTAGAAAAGGACTAGTGTTGAAGTCTCTCTCACTAGAGGCAAAAGTGGATGTGTGTATTGAATGCATTTCTGATTGTCCTTCTATATGGTCTTATTTGCATGTAGTTTTGCTTTTGAATTGCATTCATGCATACATTACTTTCCTCCGGTCATATTTGTGGACAGACAGTAACTTTTTTTTTTTTTTTTCTTTTTCTTAATTGGTATTCACACACACGAGGATCGAACTCTTAACCTTCCTTTGAGAAATAGAAGTGTGGTACCGCTAGGACACTGGCCATATTTGTGGACAGACAGTAATTTTAATTTTCAATGTCTTTCATTCATGCATTAAGAAGGACACGTTGCTTATACATGTCGAGAGCATATATGGAGAGCTTTATGCGTGTTTCACGCTAAAACTCAATACATTAAAACACTAAAACTCAATACATTAAAACATATATATGATTTTCCCCTTTAGTTTTTCCACATAACAAATCTTTATTTTTATTTTAATTGCTTTTAGTGCTGCTCACATAACTGAAACTGATCATGTAATGTGGTGTGATTGATTCGATCTTGTGGCAGTCATGGAGGGGTTTAATTGATTGGGATGAATGATGATTGATGCAATAATCAGGAGTTGAAACGGTTTCGAAAACCTAGTTGTAAAATTGTCTTAAATCAGAATGATGTGAAGTCATGTCTTGACATAGAGATGGGCATATGGAGAGGGGAAAGCTTGTAGAACCCTGACGAATGAAACCTGAGATGGGCATAAAAGTCATTTTGATTATTTACTTGGGTATTTAAGTAAAATAATTACGGGTACGTTAGGCGGTAAAATTTCTTTATATAAGTTATATTATAATTATTTCCTAATATTATTCAAAACTACTCAAAACTTTATATCTTAAAATAACTTTTTATTTTTTCTCTTTTCTCTTTTCTCTCATTCATGTTTTTCTTACCAGAAATATTGGGCCCCAAAAATTTATATCCTTAAATGACCACCTTTTTTTTTTTTTTCGCACAGAATCTTAATATTTGGTCCAAAAGATATATATACTTAAATAACTTTTTTTTTAGTTTACTTGAAAGAGTGGTGAAACTTTCCATTTTTTATTTTATTTTTTATTCAGCACATACAAGTAGTCTCCCTCCTCTTTCATTATAAATTTATAGTTCTCTTTCTTCTCCACTCAATACTCATTACTCTCAATTTGAGCCCTCCTTTTTTTTTTTTTTATTGAAAAATTTGTAGAAGCATTGGATTGGGGTTTTTTAAATCAGTTTTTATTGTTGTTTTTCTTTAATTATTTTTTAGTTTTATTAACTTTTATTATAATAAATTTGTGTACATATATATATTTCATATATTTGTATATTTTAACTAAACTTAAATACAAGAATCTAATTAATAATTTTGCATTTCACGAAGTAAGATGGTTGATTTTTTTTTAATAAATATTATTTAATATTAATATATTATTAATCTTTTTGTGCAGTTGAATCTTATGTATAAAAGTCTCGTATTTAAAGTTTGAAAAAATATTTAAAATCATAAAAGAGATTCATGTAATAATGACAAACCACCAAGGAGGACTCTGTAAAAATTTTCCATCAATGTATATATGTGTCCAAGCGTGCATACGTCCATATTAAATACTAGGGGAAAAGAAGTATAAAAAGAACTTGCAATTCTTGTAGTCATTGCATCAAAAGGGGAGGTTATAACTTCTCCTCAGGTGAACGGATCGAGCTCCATAGTGAATATTTTTTAGTCTGTTTTTTACCGTCATCCTATCATAAGGGATGGATTATAACTTATCCTTCCCTCAAAGGAAGGTGAACGATTCGAGCTTTAGAGTGAATATTTTTAAGTGTGTACAAGTATTTACCTAACTCCAAATAAATAAATGTACGAGTTCAGCCATTCATTCAAACAGATATAAAGGTGGGAGCTTAGTAAAAGCACCTTTGTAACAGTTTTACTCATTTTCTATAAAATTTTATGTATGCAGCTTTTCTAGTCAAGTCACACAAGCTTGACAAAAAGGATCATACTATTTAATTAAGTGTGTTTATGCAGCTCTTCTTGTCAAGCCACTCCATGATGAATATTTTTAAATGTATTTTTTATAGTCATCCTATCACAGGGGATGGGTTATCACTTCTCCTCCCCTCAAAGGGAAGGTAAACGATTTGAACTTTATAATGAATATTTTTTAAGCGTGTATAAATATTTACCTAACTCCAAATAAATAAATGTATGAGGTCGATCATTCATTCAAACAGTTATGGAGGTGCAAGCTTAGTAAAAGCACATTTGTAACCGTTTTACTCATTTTCAATAAAATATTATTTATGCAGCTTTTCTCGTCAAGCCACACACGCCCACTGCATTGCTCCTAACAAAAGCTTGAACTCTCAACCTTCCTTTTGAGGAGAAAGATCATACCACTTAAACTAATGCCTATTAATTTTTTATTCATGACACGTTCTCATTCAAAATTCTTGTGACATTGAAATCCATGATTTCACATTCTCACCTTATTCATTACTTGTTCTCATACAAAATCCATGATTGTGCAAGAGAAATTACACAAATGAACAAGTGAAGACCATATATGCAATAAATAAATAGATAAACAAAAACTGAATTCTATCATGAAGACAAGATCATCAATTTTTATGAAGTTGTTGAACAATAAATTCATTGATATAAATATGTTTTGTGTACATAATAAATATGTCTACATTGTGAGAGAAAGGTAACGTACTGTATATTCAGAGGCCGTCCAACACACTTCTGAAAAAAGGAGGTCTTATTCCTTTTCTTTTCTTCTTGTTGGGGAAAAGAAGACTTTGGTTTCTCAGAAAAGTTATCCTTTGCTTCACTATTTCATCAACCAAACACATCTTTATTAAAGCTCCGTAACATCCCACCATTGCTTACTCCTAACATTCATCATCACCCAGGAAAAAAAAAATTTCATTTCATTCGTCTACCAGACATTAAAACAAGCATTATCAAATGGGTTTTCTCGGAGCCATCGCAAGACATTTGGATACACTACTCGGGTACTTTTATTTTCCTAAATGAAAATAATTTCCTCTCTTCTCTTTTTCATGATTGCCATAGCAAGTATTCTCCAGATAATTCACTTCCCATTTCATATATGTTCATGAAATTTATGCATAAATCAGTTGGGAAAAAAAAAATGTATATACATGCACAAACAAATTATATATTAATATTATGATGCATCAAATGCCAATGATTTCATGTCAAACACTTAAAATTGAAAAACAAATTGTCTAATTTTTATTTTTATTTTTGGTTGCAAACCAGGCCAGGAGTGATGCTTCTATATCCATTGTAAGTAGGGAATCTTCCATTGAGTAGAGCAAGAAATTATCAAATATATATATAGGGTAAATTTACCTCTCTCTTGAAGTTCGTCAATATCCTACATAGATCCTATTTACTTTTCATAATTCCATTTATCTCCCCGAGGGTTCTGATTTATGTAAAAGATTCCCCCTGCCTTCCCATTTTGCCCTTCTAGTGACTGAAATGACGTCAAACATTAAATGGTAAAAAAGTCACTGACAGGGGAAGTAAGTGGAATTATGAAACGTAAAGGGTCTATGTGGGATCCTGACAAATCTCAAGAAAGGTAAATGAAATTTACCCATATATATATATATATATATAAACACATATAGAGAGAGCAATATATATAACTAACATGACTAATATGAGGTTGGTATGAATGACAGGTATGCATCAATTCTAGCAATAGAGAGTCCTTCAACACTAGACGATCAACAATGGCTAACATATTGGGTTTTGTATTCGTTTATAACACTCTTCGAGCTCTCGTGTTGGAGAGTCCTTCAATGGTAATGTAGTGAGTGAATAATGTATATATGCAGATCATAGAGATTGAGAAATTTACTGTGTTTTCATTTTCCTCCTCTGATTAAAATGTGTTTCATGACAGGCTTCCATTCTGGCCATACATGAAGCTGTTGTTCTGTATGTGGTTGGTGTTACCTATTTTCAATGGAGCAGCTTATATATACATGAATTTCGTGAGGAAGTATGTGAAACTGGGCAGATATGTGAGCTCAAACTATCCTGAAGGCCAGAGGAAGGTTCTTCAGATGATGAACCTTGATACTAGAAAGTCCGTGGAGCGTTACATCGAGAAATACGGACCAGATGCCTTTGAACGAGTGATCAAAGCGGTAAGTCAAACCATATACTCTCAAAATTTAAGCTGTTAGAAAATGTGTAACTTTAAGGCCTTGTTTGTTTAGATGTAAAATATTTTTTAGAAATTATTTTTTTATATTTTGGGGTTCTATTGTCCAAAATTTAAAATATTTTACCAAAACCTAACAAAATAACTTGTGCTTTTGTTCTAGAATTTTTTAATTTTTTTTTTTTATTATTATTTTTTTTTTTCACAACCTTTGCCATACACCATAAAATAAAAATAAAAAAATTTATTTTACCTAAACAAGTTCTGTATAGAAAATATTTTCGAGGAAGATATTTTACATTAACACACCCCTCACTTCTAGCCTTTTTTGGCCCAACACGTGTACGGCAAGGTTTTAACTCAAGACCTTTATACCATGTTAACCATCATATGCTCTAATCAACCATCTACTTGGACAGTTTAAGCTATTAAAGAATGTGTAAAACTTTAATATTTAAATCTTCTAATTAATGTGGCATTCTTTTGGTCCAACGCGTGTACGGTGAGGTTTCAACTCAGGATTTAATACTATGTTAACCATCATGTACTCTCAAAGCTAAAACTGTTAGAGAACGTGTAACTTTAATATTTAAATCTTCTAACGAAAACAACACTCTCTATATATACATATACATAGAGACACACACAGAGATGCACATATATCATTTCTCATCCAATTGATTTTATTGCAGGCTGAAAGAGAAGCAAAGAAGCACTGAGAAGATCCAACTTGGACTCTACCCAGTTTATAAATACACCTTAATACATGTAAATGTGCATATATACATATATAGAGAGAGAGAAGCTACACAGAAATATGTATGGGCTTATATTTGTACTGTCGTATTCTCTTTTCTGAAAACAACGAAATAATAGTGTTCTGTTGATAGTGATACAATTGAATTCTGCTCTTTATGTGCTATATGGCTTCACAATTGCTAGAAATCAGATTGACACAAAAACAGATCTCTAATAATGATAATATTATATATAAGCAAAACCATAAATTCTCAATGCTAAAATTATACATGTTATGTATTCCCCATCTCAAGCTAAGCAAAGAACTAAAAACTCCACAAGCATATATCAATGGAATTGGACATTCTTGTAATAGAGCAACAATTTATACAACTACATTGGAAACTCTAAATTGGCATTTTTATCGAACATGAGCAGTTCACTAGACTCACAGTCATATATTAGATTTGTCAAGGCTTTTATGGCTTCAGTGGTGCACATAAACATAGTTCTAAAAGTAGTGTTTATTAATCTCAACTGTAGACATATAATAAAGCTTATTGAATATCTGACGTCAGATTTCTAAATTCTCATAAGGCCGATCAGATATGTAGTTAAAACCCTTCTTTCATTCAATCTTAGTACAGCCAAAATCCCATTGCTCTTCATAAAACCCTAAGAAAACCCGAGCAAACTAACTACTATCAACCATCGATTTATGCTTCACATTCTAAGAAGCCACTCGCATCTGAAAAACGGGCATGCTTTGAGCAGGCAAGACTAAAGGTATCGACATCAGTTTAATTAAATGAGCTTAACCTTTAATGGTTTTACTCCGAGATGTGGTGTCATTGCAAGAAACTGCTTCAGTGTAGCTGTGAAGTCACTGGCCCTTTCTCCAAAATAGGTCATTAAACTTTCGAATGTGGTTTCTGCCAAAAAAAAACTGAATAAATCCAATCGCTACCGTGAAATGATGTTTTACTAGAAAGCAACATTATTGAATCTACAAATAGGTACAAGGGTGGTTTTTTCCATTAATCAGTCATCCTCCTAGTCCTAGTTTGTAAAAACAGATAATCAGTCCTAGAATTTAATCAGACCAACCACATCAATGTCACATGGTCCTGCACCATTTATCTAGCTAGCCACTGCTCTCTCACTTGAGGACCATAATATCTAAAATTAGATTACCAGAAAAATTATCAAAACAATAAAACAAAAATAAAAAATACAACCTGTTGAACAGATAATGGTAACACAACATCAGGTGTTATTTCTTCAAATCTGATACCATTATACAGTTTTCTCAACTAGCAAAGCTGCAAGTATAATATAGCACATGCATCCAAACTCTAGGAAAAGACCTGCACAGTCCAACACTAGGACAAGGCCACAAAATGTCACGAACATAACGGAAAATATATATATATATATATATATATATATATATATATATATATATATTCCACATTTCCCCAAATAGGAAGCTAATATTAGGTGAAATAAAAAGCACTTATTGAAATCTCCAGCTTTCGAAAGTAACAATATGCCAATGAGATGATATTATTTATGCTTCTCCCTCAATTCTAGCACCGAAAGTCCTTTGAAGAAGGAGAGGAAAAGAGAGTGATTATGTAGAGCTAAAAAACCTATGTCTTGAAATAATCCTTTTGAGTATCCCCTCTGAGATACATAATCTCCCCCATACGTGTAAAATTCCTTCTCAAAATACTCTTCCAAATCATATAAAAAATAAATCAGTGACGATCAAAATCTGCCCATCTCATAAAAATTTAACTACCCCAAATGCCGAAACAATGGTTGTTTTGGGAAACCATATGCAAACCATGCTAAAAAAGCAGCATGGTAATTAATTGAGAATACCTCTCTGCCCAATCCGCGCTGTACATCTGGAGCACCAGATTCCACTCCATAACATGCTAAAACCTACCCCAACATGAGAACCCCCATCTCTTTTCTAACTTCTTCTCTCTTTATATTGAACCCCATTGCTGCATAGCTCATGACCCCACAAGTACAATATATTACAAGGCACTGCTTCCGTCTTCAATGCAGGTGCATAGTCAGTACTCTTTTACCAGTGTAATTTCAAGCTATCACGAGGTGCTAAATGACAAGTCTAATGATACTGAACTAAACTATAGAGTCAGCAAAGAGCAAAGGGCATCTAGTCCATTGTGAGCTATCACGAAGTGCTAAAAAAAATGTGTGTTTCTTGTCAATGTTATAAAAAAATAAATAAATAAATAAAAACTTATAGAGTCATCAACCACGAAAGAATCAAATAACTCCACAATACTTTATGCCACCGACAATAATATATACCATTTTAATTAACAATTAATAATAAAGAAATCAAGCGACTAAATTTCATGATACTAATCACATACGGTATTAATCAAGAAACAGACAACATTTTAATGATAGAAATCACTTACATACCTTCTTGGCAATCAATCGAACACCTAGACCACAGCTATTTCTCTCAGTTTTCATACACTTCTTCTTGGAGTAGTTGATCCTCTCCTGCTTTTTCAACTTGTTCACGATCACTTCATCTTTCAGTCACTTTATCTTTCAGTTTTGTTTTCTTCTTCCTCTTATTGCTTTGAATATCCAAATCTTTTTCAATCTCCACCATCGATCTCTTCTCTGAGAAATTTTGTCTTCCATTGTCATTTCTTTAGTGTTTAGTGCATTAGTTCCAAATGGAATAGAATTGGATGTCAGGCCATCGAATCAAAGTTCGATTATAGAGAGAGGGACTACATTACATGGACGAGCACACATGTTGTAGGGGATGCCGCTACAGAGCTATGAAGATGGGAGATGGAAGGCTTCAGGTAGCCGTTACAACAGCTATTTGAAAAGTGACAAGCGTATGGGCCTTTGTTGGGCCTACGCAATGGGCTCTATTTTGTACTTTGACTGGGTTCATCTAGTTAGGTCTTTTGACAGATGCCTAAAGTAGATTGTACATTTTACTTCATTCAACCAATTTGCTTAAAATAAGATAACCATCCACCCTACTCACATGCCCATTTTGTTCATTTGAGATTCTAATTCCCACCGTCTACTTTGAGAAGTAGAAGAAATACACTAAGGGCTAGTTTAGTGTGGTGGAATGAATTGGAATGGAATAAGATTGGAGATGGGAATGGAATGAAAAGAGAATTGAATAGTCATTCCTTTTGTTTTAAAGTGGAATGATTTTGATGGAATAGACATTCTCTATGAATAGTGGGGAATGATAATTCCAACTTTAAAATTGACACCAAGCACGAGAATAGAAAAAAAACCATTCCATTCCACTTTCTTTTATTCTATTCCACTACACCAAACTAGCCCTAACTTACAAAACTTTTGATACTTCGACTAATATTTTAATAGCTAAAATTAGAGTTTAATTTTTTTTTTTTAAATTAAATTTGATATTTTATTATTACAACCGCTCCCTAATTTTTGTTGAAACACCCTCACATGGATAATATTTATGTAGATAATATGAATGAAGATGTTTTCGAAAAAATAAAAAATTATAATGTGACAAAATGTGAAAACGGTCTAAAGAATGGAGTCTTCAACTGCGATTGAGTTATGGTGTATTAGTTAGATGATGACCTGAAATATATGTGAAAGTGAGTTACATGTGACAGGTCTAATAAACTAGCCTAATAGATTTGGACGTCTAATTACCCATGAGAAATATATTAAGCACCCCAAGTATCCATATTTATGCATGATTGTCAATATTTCATGAGACTCCGTAAGCGTTAATGCATGTAGAACCTTATAAGATTAATATTATTTTTTTTTTATCTCAATGGAAAAGGGAAAAAATACTAACCACTAAAAAAGAAGTGGTGCGATGCACTTTTATGCTTATATATTAAAGAGATGACTTTGTATTTAATTTTTGAAGTACCTATATGGGGGGTTTGTTGATAGTGTCCGACTTTAGAACGAGTTTTTTCTTACTTTTTCCGTCAAGAATTGAGAGAGTTATTGAATGAATCACTGATGGACTGATTTTTAGAGTATTGTCGTTGCTTTATTCAATTTGTATAAAAAATAATTTTTTAATAATTATTTTACTAAAAATATATAGTGATACATAGGGTCGAATTCATATTTAAGTTGAAATTTCGTATTGGAACTTAGATTCAAATTATTATCCGGAGAGAAAAAAAAAATTACATTGTTTGAATTTTGAACTAATTTACTAAAATTTAAAGCATCTAATTTAATTGACAATAAAATAAAACATGTAAATTAAAGATAAAAAAAACATAATGCATGGAAAGAAAGTATAAAAAATAAATACACAAGCACCGAGATGGCTGACTCCTCGAAACAACTCCCACTCCCACTATCCAACTCCTAACCAGGCTCTTTTTCATACTCTTCTTTGACAATTTATAGGCAAACTCTCTTCATCCATGGATGGCAGATATTTTCTTTCCCCACTTCATCTTTGTCTCTCTCCACCCATCATTCTTTTGACTTTTGACTCTCCAAGTTTCCCATCTTTTCTTCTTTATTTACTCTTCATTCACGTGCACACACCAACTGCACAAATAGATATATATATATATATATATATATATATATGTAGAGTTGGTGGTGATCTTTTCCTTTTACAGGACAGCAGAAGATCCTGATATCTTGTAGGAGACTATATATATGTAGAATTGTAGAATTTGACTATGGTCCTGCTAGGTGGCACTGATGACGTGGCGAGTGATAGATCCTGGGATAAAAAAGTCTTCGATGTAGTGCTGCACTGCTCTATAACCTTTATAGTTTTTCAGCCAACTATATGACCTTCCCTTGCAGCCGCCAACTTTTACTTCTTCATTTTTGCATGCTTTCTTCCCCTTCTCTAATTATTATAGATAATATCTATAACGCATATCTAATAATATTTAAATAATACAAATACTACTAAATTATATATATTGAATATATATAAAATAAAAATTTTTATGTCCTTATCAATCAAAATGATTATCCTTATTGAGTGTATAAGAATATGGGTGAAGTGCAGAAAACACTCCTGAAGTATGTTTACGGTGCATATCACATCCCTCTCGTGCAAAAAATACTCCTCAAGTTTCAATTTGGTGCAATTAAGTCCACATGACACATTTAAAATCTAAA